ATGCACACCAGCAGTGTCTCCTAGTTTTGATACTAATGCCTGGGAAAGCTGATAACCAGTCCGCAGAAAACACCATGCAAAGAATGGAGTCATCCCTGCTTCTCTGAATATATCAGTTTGTAATAAATGACTTGTCCTGGCACAAGACAGGGATTTTTTGGGAAAAATAATATCCTGAGACATTTGCAACTGCAGATATTTTTCTCTAGGGTGACAGAAAGTATGAAGGTGGTCTTCTTGTGTACACAGGCTTTGATGAGCATATGAGCTGGGTAGTGTAGTCTTCTGATATACTTGCAACTTCTTGATGGATTTCTGTAGCTTTATAACTGGCATTCAGTGTTAACTGATGGATTTTAATTCCTGAATACATTTTGTCTATTTTTAAACATTGTGAAATCCAATAAATTTCAGAAAGGATAACTTCCTTGCAATGAGGCCACAAAAAGATTTTTGAACAGCTGATCTGTCATAGTTGTTAATTTTGGAGGTGGTACACATACATGATCTTAGCACACCTTGATAAGGCAAACTGTCCTAATAATTAGATTTTTATTTTTTGTTTTGTTTCTGGCTCTTACAGAGGAGAAGAGAAGAAAAAAAAACAGATGAGTAATTAGAAAAATTCAAACCTGCTGTGCCACCTTTAGTGCTCATGGTTGGCAAGACAGGGAATTTGGACTGAAAAGATGACTAGTACTCTGCTATATGCCAATTACTCTCCTGGAAAGCTGAAAACCTATTGTTAAAAAAAACAAGTCTTTTCCCCAAGTTAATTAATATTATCAAATCCATTATTAGGCAACAGATACCAAACAAAAATATTAATTCTGGTCTAAGATGATTGTTTACAAAACAGATAGTTACTAAAACATTATTAAATCTGAGACTCCAACTCTTAAACAAAAGGCTTCAGCTAAATTTAACACTTTTTTTACCTATGTATGACTTGTATTTTAGTGCTAGCACTCTATTTGCCTTGGAATGCAGTGTGTTCAATTCAGCAAGTCCATCTGAGTAGATTTCCATCAATACTACATCCTCTACAAGCCGTATGGGAAGTCACTGAAATGTGCTGACACACACTTAGCTATGAAGTAATTTTGTCTAAGAGCAGGTTATTTCCTAATTGTTCTCCACTTGTTTTTTGGGTCATGTCTATTGTGTGTCATGTGGTAAAAATCACATTCCATTCAGAGCTAGGATGAGCCACGTGGCTTCCTTTTACCTTCCAAGGGCAAGAAGAACTACTGACAGAAGTTATTTTTAACTGACTTGTTTTGAAATATCTGTTGTTCCTCAAACAATTGAAGTAAAAACTTCATCTTGTAAAGCTCTACTCAAGGCTGAAAAGATTACTGACTAGACTCTTGGTGAGCCACAAGATGTTATTAAGTAACAGCTGCCATTTACGAATGCTGCAAGAAGAGAAAACATACACTGCCTTCCTTCCCAGCAGCTGGCCATGAAATATGGATGCTGTGCTGAGACTGCTTCATCATTTCACCCTTTGTTCCCAGACTCTGATCACAGAATATCCTGAGCTGGAAGGAACACACAAGGATCACTGAGCCCAAATCTAAGTGAATGGCCCATATGGGGATAGAGTGTGGATGTACAAATGTTAAAGCTGAGATAAAAGTTATAGAAATGACTTTTTATCCTTAGGTTATTTCTACATAGTTAACAGGCTTCAGAACATTTGCACAGCAATGTTAGGCAATGTTTGTAGGACTCCCTTTTTTATGTATATGGGGCTAACAGAAAGGGGATGTATGCACATGCATATATTTTGATTTTTAGATGGATTTTCTTTCTTGTCTGAAATCCCATATTATACACAGTTGTCTGGGGAGGCAGTCTTATTGCAACAGGACAATTTGCATGTTTCTTATGCATCATGGGAAAGCTTGTCACTGTGGTGATTAATACCAGTAAGTAGTGCAGTAACATGAAAAGATGAGCACTGAACATGCCCTTAGCTGACTGTACTTGCTGGATATCTGCGTTCAAAGTTGTAACCTCTGCAGTCATCACCTGGCCTGTATTTCCTGTGTGTGCGTTTGGGTGTGCACATCATGATGGACTGCAGAAGGAACTTCACATTTACAAGGACATATTTAGCTAGCCCAGAAATACAAATGTGCAAGTATGTGTTCTTGTTTGGATATATGTAGCATTTTAAAATAAAATAAGACTGACAACTAATCTATTAAGGTAGTTATACACTTGTGGTTGTTACTCCAGAGTAGTTGCTGTTTTGATATTTTAGTGTGTTAGATGTCTCTTACTTGTGCAAGTAGTTGAATATATTTAATGTTCGTAGTCAGCTTAGCAAACTTTTTATTTAAGGCTGATTACCAGAACAATTTAGATGGGACCTTTGGACATTGTCTAATCCAGGCCTGCTCAAAATGCACACAGTTAGGTTTCTGAGGGCCATGTCAAGTAGAGTTTTAAATATCTTCAAGGATGCTGATTCCAAAACTTTTCTGGACACCTTTTTCATTGTTTCTAATTGTTTGGGGTTTTCTTCTTTTTTTCCTTTCCCCCCATCTTGTATCTGGCTGACTTTCTCTTGTTTCCACTTAGGTCTGTTGCATGCTGTGCTATTGCTGTACATTTCCATGGAGGGAAAATGCCTTGCATTAAGCAGTTAGTGATGGCAACAAGATCTCCCTTAAGCTTCCTGTTTCTCAGGCTGAACATTCCCAACTCTCTCAGCTTCTCTTCATATGTCAGGTGCTCCAGCACCTCTGACCACCTCTGTGGCCTCCCTGTGGCTCATCCCAGTGTGTCTGTGTGGAGTGACACTCCAGATGGCGTCTCTCAAGTGTCAGACAGGAGGGATTGGGGGATTGGGTTCCTTTCCTTCCTCACTTTTGCTGCTCCAGCCTGGACACATGGCTCATGTTTCCCTACCAGCACACCGAGGTTCTGCAGAGCTGCTTTCCCATCAGAGAACCCAACTTTTACTGCTGCACCAGACACTGTATGAAGGGAGAGACTGATGCTCACTTTACAGACTGAGGTCTGAGGCTATCCCTAACAACCAGACATGTATCATGTGTTAATATACTGCTGTTCAAATTACAAGCAATACAATCAACGTTTGTGTAGATGCAAACTTTGCTGAGTAACAACAGCATCTGACAGGGGAGACCAACTTTTCTAAACCATGATTTGTTAAGTTGAAATGTTTCAAATTGCTTTTCCCCCTTGCACTCCCTGCTTATTTATTTCAGCTCTTTAGTGTCAGTTCTGTCCCTGACACCATCCAGGGAAAGCTTGAAAGTTATTGTCCTCTCTTGGGAAGATCTGGTTCCCATTTGTTTGAAATGAGAATTTGAAATAGGAAAAGACCTCTGTTAAAAGTTATTCACATCCTGTCCTTCCTAGATAAAGAAGAGCATTTTGAAAATGTGAAGATGAAGTAGGAAGCTGGCTAGGTGATGCACTTTGGAAACAAAAAGACAGGACTTGGGGAGAATTAAAGAAAGTGCCAAAAAGTGCCTGATTTTGCAGGACTCTGAAGTCAGGCTTAAATAGGTGGCATCCATTTGTTAGGACAAAAGTGTGAACACTTTAGCTGTGGAGACATATCCCAGACAGGTACAGAGCAATGCAGAGCTAAAAGATGCTAATGTTGACCACCTTAAGCATAAGTTTTGGTACATAGATACAAATAATGTAGAACTAAGTACTGGGGAGCAGGGAAAATCCAGGGCGAAGACTGTAAGTGCAACTGCAACTTGATCCCTCTGTTCCACTTATAACTAGATCTACTGGATCTGCTGGATCACAGAGATTGTGTGTGATGCTGTCCATGTCACTGGAGAGGAGCTCTTCACAAGTGGCCTTGATCCATGGGTTCATTCCCTGATGTCCAGCTTGTTCCTTCGCGATCTTACTCAGCAAAGTGCTCGGGGCTTGCAGCAGTGACTGCAGTCAGAAGGGGCTGACTTCTGAAGATTCCAGGTACAAAGAATTGGGCTTGAAGTGTCTAAAGTGGGCATCATAAATTATCAAGAGTCTGACACTATTGTCCTTAGTGACTCTGGGCTGAAACCTAACTGTGGGGCTGTTAGATCTGCCTTTCCCCAAACAACTGGTGGGAATTTATGGGTATTTTTCTTTGTCCTGTTGCTGGGTACCACTGAAAAGATTCTGGCACCATCCTCCTGGGATCTGCCTTTGACATATTTATGTGTGCTCAGATCCTCTCTGTCTTCTCTGCTCTAGACTAAATAGGCTTATTTCCCACAGTTTATCCTTGTAAGAGAGATGTTCCACACACATAATTGTTGATGCCTGGTACTCTATGGTCAATGATAGCATCTGGAGACACTAAAGTTGCTTTTTCCCCCTTTTATCTATTATTTTTTTCCCCTATCATGATACTTTCCACATCATTTTTTTGAAACTTTTCTTTCCCAACTGTATTGGTAAATGCCATTTCTGTTTCTGAGAGGCTTCTTAGTATTCTTCCAGGAAAAGCAATCTTAGAATAAGGGAAGCCCTGTGACATTTTGGGTAGTCGATGTAATGAGGGATCAGGATCTAGAGGAGATTTCTCTAGTGAGCAGTAGTGGAAGGTGTTCAGTTATTAACATGTCTACAGATGGTGATAGCTGAAGATTTACTATCAGGAGTATAGTTTTCCCATCCAAGTAAAAGACTGGCATTCTGTGGGGAGTTTGGCACTGTCCTACTATTCTTTTTGACTTCAGCATTTGTAGTCTTTTTTCCTTCAGTTTTGTTTCTAAACTTGTATTTTCTAGAACATTGTTCTAGGAGAGTTTTGGATGTGATATCCATCACTATATAAAATACTGTGAACAAATTTAAAATCTGGTATTTTGGGTTACCTTTGATAACTGTTTGTTATCTGTGATTTAGTTATCACTATGATGTAGCTATTAGTTACAGATTTTCAACTCTTTTAACCAATATTTTAGTTACTTCAAACTCATTCCTCCTGTTCCTGTTTTACAGGCAGGATGAAAGATCGTTTGAGTGAGCTGCGTGAATTTGCCAGGTTGCATAACCAACAGTTTTCTGATAGTGATGATGATGAAAATTCACCCCAGGATATTCTCCTTTATGAGACGGACTATGCCTTGGAAATCCTTCATAAGGACATACAGACCATCCGGACAGAAAATGACCACCTAAAAGCGGATGTCAACCGTCTCAGAAAGCAAAACACCCGCTTCCTTACCTCCATGCGCCGTCTTAGTAGCATCAAACGAGATACTAATTGTATTGCCAGAGACATTAAGAGCCGTGGAGAAAGCATTCACAGGAAACTGCAGATAATGAGAGATTTCTGTGAAGATGCAATAACAAAATACGGAGCTATGTCTGTCATTGCTAGGGTGGCAAAGAACCACTACGTTGACCTCATGCACACATTTCAGGACGCTATGTTTGATTACAATGCAACAGAGATGAACCAGCGGGAGAACTGCAAGATTCGAATTCAGCGGCAGCTGGAGATCATGGGCAAAGATGTTTCTGGCCACCAGATTGAGGAGATGATTGAGCAAGGCAAATGGGATGTCTTCTCCGAGAATCTCTTGTCAGATGTTAAGGGAGCTCGCGCAGCCTTGAATGAGATAGAGACGCGGCACAAGGAGCTGGTGAAGTTAGAAGGTCGCATTAAAGAAGTTCATGAGCTCTTTCTGCAGGTGGCCCTCCTAGTGGAGGAACAGGCAGACACCTTTGATGTTATTGAGATAAATATGCAAAATGTTGAGGACTATGTAGGAGATGCTAAAGACCAAGTGAAAAGAGCTTTGGAATACAGGAGAAAACATCCCCTCAGAACAATACTCTGCTGCTGCATATCATGTTGCAGAAGGTGATGGTCCTACTGGAGCTATCACAGACTGACTCGAATGTCTTCAAAATCAGGTGTTCTTTCCAGAGACTGTTCTGTAATGACAAGCCCTAGAAATAGGGGCGATATTTTGCAGTTGGTTTTGTTCATTGTCTTTTTACTAAATGTGCTGAAGGCTGTTTCTATTTATGAACTTCTAGAAATGTTGATAAAACTATTTTTAATCTAATTTTAATTGAAAGGTTCTTTTACTGTAACTAGAGGTGCAATATCTTTACAATGATATTCATTTCATATAGGCAAGAAAGAAGAATGAATAACTTATCGTAGAGAAGATGAATACTTTCAAAAAGTAACTTTATTCCTATTTGTCGAAGTGAGGCTGCAGGTGCTGAAGCCTTGTTGCCTGGGGCAACACAGCACACCAAAAAAACAGTAGGTTTTAGTTTGGAGGCTGCTTGATACAAATTTGACAAAATACTGAGCAGGAGCAGGAACTTGATTTTCAGCTGTCAGTAATCTTAACAGAAGCAACAGCACCTGAAATGGATAATATGCACATTTTGCTCTATTTGTGTGCAAATGACTGCTTTTTTTTTCCATTTTGAGTACCCAACTCTCTCAAGGTGGCTAAAAGCACTGCAACACTGAGGCATCTCACTCACTTTTAACTTGAGCCACTCTCTGGACTCCCAGTTTCAAACCTGCTATGCTTTCATGTTCTGATGCATTTTTATGCCAATAAACACTTCAGCCAGAGGAGGAACATGGAGTGGCCTTCTGCAGAAACACATATAAGAGGACAACAGTTATGGGGTTGAGAAAGCATTTTAGGATCTCCTGTACTGGCACGTACATAGAGGCAGTTTTAGTGCAATGACTCGCCTATCAGTACACTTTTATTTTTTATAAGCATTGACCAAATATAGATTTTTTTTATATCTATTTTAAATAAGATGAAGGATTAATTTTTTTTATATGCAATTTTACTTGTGTACAAAGATTTTTACTTTCACCAATTGTTGGGAAATCTCCACCTGGGAAAGCAAACAGAACTATTTCTTCAGTACATCTGAAGAAGAAAGAAAACAGTTTCATGCCATTTCAGTGCTCTTTTCAAGCTTAAAAGGAAACTCTCCTTTTGTTGGATTTTTCCCTTACACAAGGGCAAACCAGTAGGTTTGGAGTATTGCAAGGAAATAAAAAATGTGCAGTCCTGGTAAGCACTGAGCATTGTCAGTGAAACATACTCGCAAAATCTGGTGCTTGATCACAGCTCCTGCTTCTGGAAGTTTGCCAGCTGTATTTCTAGGTGGCTTCCTACACTGTGATCTATTGGTATCCTTTGAAATACTGCAGGACATTTTTTCAGAAATTATTTTTTTTAACTTATGGTCCTATTTGTACCAATTTGAATAAATATATTTCAACATTTCAAGTGTTTTGTATTTGGGAGTTTTCCTCAGATGTGCATAGATGTACATCTTCCTGCACCAGCTGCAGTGAAGCTTTTCCCTTCTTACCTTTTTCACCCTGATTTTATGTGTGAAAAAAAAAAAAAACCCAAACATTTCTTACTATTTGTATTAATATAACAAAACAAATCCAACTTTAAAATAAATCCAACTTCCAAGTTTTTATATCTTACTGGGAAACAATTTTAGCCAGACAGGCTTTTTTACACAAATAGAAACTAAAGGGATAACTCTTCTCAGAAACTGAGTGTCCCTTTTGCTGTAGCACCTGTCTCTGATAACATGGAAGAGTGAGGAACACCGATCTCCTAAACTTTAAGATATTTTGATATTCAGTAGTGTACTGGTAATATCAGTGTTATGCTTGTCTGAGGATGTCTCCAGTGAGTTGTTCAATCTTGAAATGGGAGAAAGGAGGGTGATGAGGTGGGACCATAGCCACTGGCTTTGGTGCTACTCAAGGAGACAAGGTTGTTTACTCTGTAGGTACTGCCATTAAGTCAGTGGAACTGTGCATTTGTAGGGAAATACCCTGAACCTCTGAGAGTCAGCATGTGGGGATAAATCAATGAAGAATTAAATACTGTATTTCCTTTCACATGCTTATTCCTAGCACTTATCAATGTTTTTGATAAAAATATGTACTTTTTTTTTTTGTGCTGGTTCCTTTTTTGCATCTACAAATTGAATAAAATATTTAATAAGAAAAACTGAAAGTGCAGGGTGTCGTACATTGAATCTGAAGTTCTGAATAGTGTTTTGTGTTGTCAAAGTTTAGTTTAAACGTTGCTGGACTAAATTATGAGTTGGTAAAAGGAGAATAAACAGGGCCTAGAAAAAAATAGTCCTCCTAATATTTGTTGCCATGGTAAATGAAATGTGTTGCATATTGAGATAGACTTACTATTGTTTTTTCCCTAAAACACTCCAGAAAAATGAGTTTCGTGCATTCTAAGATGATTCTCTAGTTAAAAAAAAAATCAAATTTATTCTGGCTCTTCTGAGAGACCTTGATGATTTCACTAGTAGATATGTAAAACTAGTATTCAAATCTTTAGGGTTGATTTGGGGCACAGGGAAAGAAAAGGTAATTGTAGACTTTCTCTCCTGACTTAGCACTGTTGCTGTAGGAAAAAAAAAAAGATAATTAGTCAAAAACCAACCTGAGACCTTTTAAAACTATTTTTAAGATACACTGTGAGTTCAGAGACACTTAGAAATTATTTCCAGTAACTGAAGCAATCATTCTATCATTCTCTTCTTGCAAACACATCCATTGCTTAATATTTTGGGGTTTTTTCTACCCTTCAGTTGTGTAAGAACTCAAATTTAGCCAGCCCATGAACTTGCCTAATCGCAGTTGAACAGACTTTTGGAAAAAAAAGCCCTGATCACACTATAGCTGCAAGGACTCATGCCACATCGGATGAGTGGAAGATGATGATAAAAGTTGCTTGATAATTTTTTAGTATACTAATAACAGAAGCTGTAGAATGGACACCTTCTGGGGAAAGCTGCCTTTTCCTTCTGAAAATCATTACAACTCCTATGCAGATATGTGTAGCATATTCTATCGGTTAGCAGGGCTTTCTTCCCCCTCTTCCCTCATATAGCAAACACTTAAACTGGGTTTGAGGGGTGAAGAAGTTAAAATCTGAGAGGGGATATTTTAACTTTTAGGATTGCTGTTTTTTGGTTTAGTTTCCTAATGAAGCTGAAGCTTCACAATCCACACCATCAACCAGCCACCAACCAGTCCTTTCTGGCGAGGATAAAGAAGAACTGGCAACCAGGGGCACTTTGCTCCTTCTAAAAAATGAAAGATAGCATGGCATACATATAAGAGACAAAAAATTCCCCTATTACAAAATATAATGTTTAGTATGTAATGGCTATGCATATGGGTTTCCATTACGTCTAGAGGGACTTTTTTTTTAATCATGGGTTTCATTTTACAGAAATGGCAATGGGACAATTGCTTCCTCAAAATGAAGGACCAAACTGTGGACACACTTGCACACATGAGCAGGTATCTCTGGCACATATCTTGAGAGAAATTTTTTGAAGTAAAAGGATAGCTCTTAAGATCCAATTTTTTTTTTTTTTTCTGGAAGCTCAGCTGAGTAGCTCTGCTAAACTGCTGCTTTTCTAATCTAACTTGTATTAAGGATGTTTTGAATGCACAACCCAAGTTGTATTTTTATTATTTCTTGAAAACAAAATATGTTCTCTCGATTTTTGAACCATGGTAGCTATTTGAAATTGATTTGAAAAAGGAAAAAGCTACATGGGGTTGTGGTTCTATCTCTAGAAAGTATCACAGACATAATTGAAGGCAGGAAACCGTAATTTAATAGATACTTTATGTGGTGATTCTGGTTAATAAATTTCAAATGCAATGGTATTTTCACATGGAGCCGTAGTGTTTGTTTCTCTAATATGTAAGAAGGCAAGAGCAGATCCATATTCCATGTTTTTAGCATATTATGTAGTGTCTTCATTATGGTTGAGCCAAAGCAAGTAAGAGCCAGCAGAAGAGAGCTTCACTATTCTTACCATGCACACATAGGGTGCAAGGTAAGGGTGTAGGGTACCAAGTCTGAACAAGAAAAAGTAACATTTTACTGTGTTTCTTAGGAATGGTGTTAGATGTGAACAGAAAAGTAAAAAACCCGTTTCTCTACTCAGTACTTTGCCGAAAGGCACAACCCTACTGAACAGAGAACTATGGCATGCCAGTCATTTCAAGGCAATGATGCGGCATGGCAAGTTCCATTGGAAGAGCTGTTCTTTTATTGATGAGCTCCCGCGTGAGTAACATGTAGGGTACGCGAGACCGCACATGTTATTTTCCCTCAGAAGCACGCCTAGTGTCTCTGAGCTCTGAGCTGAGGAGGTCAGGCACCACCTGCACCTGCAAATTCGAGCCCCGGACCCCCTGCAGAGGGGCAGGGCCAGGCAGAGTGTCCAGCACCCGAGCACGGAGCGTGCTCCTGGTCTGCTGGTGGGACAGCAGACGGCCGCCGCCGCCGCCTTGTGTGCCGGAGGCTGCCACGGGCCCGTGTCCTCAGCCTGTGCTGCGTGGAGTATGTTTCTCACACCTCAGAGATGCTCAGGTTTGGTGCCATGCAGGATGTCCATTTCCTCCGCTGGAAATAACAGCGAGAGTGGGAGCCAGCGCCACGGTGAAGCCAGCGAAGTGACACTTCCCCATTTCCCCTCGGACCCAGGGCCGGCAGCAACCGGGAATATTGCGATAGGTGCTTCCGTAGACACGGCATAGAGTGGCGACCGGCAAAAAAATCTTTCCCCTGCGGCAATTTTCCTCCTAATTAACCGTAATTGATGGCTTTGGACTTTATTACTTTTGGTTCTCCTTCTACGAGCGAGAGAAGATACATTCCAGGAAACACTTGGGCGGAATTAATAAAGTATCGGTGCCGTGTCGGCACAACCACTCCACTGCCTCTCATGCCCGGAACCACGGCCCTGCCTGCTTGGGGGGGAATGAGCCCGCACTGCCCGGAGCCCGCTCTGCCCGCAGCCCCCG